ATAAAACTTGTAAAGATAGTCAAATACAACTTGTAAAGATAGCCAAATAAAAATTGTAAAGATAGCCAAAAAACTTGTGGAAAGAGATACCACAATTTTTGTGCATGGAGTAGACAGCATGGAGAGACAGGCAGTTGCACACAACTACTCAGTTAACAACAAAAATATCACACCTTTCTCCTCTAACTCCATCATCAACTAAAAAGCATGACTAGATATTTATAAAACGGGTATAAAATCCATAATACATTGAAATAAGCTCACTAGTTGCACTTTGATTAATTTAAGTAATTGCATATTTCATGCTTTTTTACTTTCTATTGTACTAAATAAACATATCTCCAAATGTGCATAGTACTACTAAAATACAGGTAACATAATGATAAATGTGTAATATTATCTAAATTTTGAAGAATACAGGTAAACAATTAGATTTGAGGGTACACAATAAAGTTGGCTCACTATTTGGCAAAGCAATGCCATTTTTATCTAAGGCGCTAACTACCTATTAATGTTTTAAGTGTTTACAGACTAGTTAATAACTGTGATATGACCTATTTATTAGTAACATGGGGTCCCTTACTGTCAGCCTACGAATATTTCACTTGTCGTTCTTCCTGTTGAACAAATTACATCACTTTCACTATTCATGTTTTGGGTTTTCAGCTCCAGAGCTGCACAAGAACTGACTCACTTCAACACCCAATACTGTAAAGTTTTGGTTTAAACTGTAAACTGGGTGTAACTCATTTTTACTAACTTCCTTTTCTGTAACCATTTAAGCCAGGAACTGTGGGCTTGTCCGGAATCATAGATCAATATTTCAGTTTTATTTACTAGAACTACTTTGGAGGAGTGGTGGTTAAGAGGTTATAGTATACAAGCCTGTGATTGGAAGGTCTCCGGTTCAAATCCCCCTGACCATAACATCTAAATGTGAGTGGGAAAGATGATGCATCCACACCTGTGTCCGCCCTCATTTGCCCCACTCTGGGCCCTTGAGCAGGGCCCTTTGCTCTCCCTGGCACCCTATGGCAACCCTCTGCTCCACACAGGGGGCGCTGTGGTAGCTCAGTGGTTAGTGGTTGTGTCAGGAAAGGCATCTGACTAAAAACAATCGCCAAATCTTCTAGCAAGTTAGCTCACTGTGGCAACCTTTGAAGAAGGGAGCAGCAGAAAGGGAAAATATTACTAGACATACTTTGAAAGGGTTCTTGGTAGCTCTGTGTCAGTACCACTGTCTTGTACTGAGGCTGCAGATTCCAGCCTGGGTTATGTCAGGAAGGGCATCTGGCATAAAGCAATCGTCAAATATGAGTTTGCTTGTTGTAGCGCCCCCTTCAGAAGGGAGCGAAGAAAGACAATAAATTTGATTGGGTTTTTGCATTTGCCTTTTTTTCATTACCTTTTTTTGTTTGTTTATTTTCTATTACTATTAAGTAATCACTATTACTAATTTTGTGGAGCCATTCAAGACTCTTGGATGAAGTCAAGACTTCATACCTCATTGTTATATTCCAATGTGCACATTGAGCCCCGGGGCTTGCCCAGTCAAAGACAGAATCTTGCTGAAGGAAAAAGAAATCATTGGAACAGATTCTCCATCTTTTAACACTTATCCATGGTCGGGTCGCAGAGGCGACAGGTCAAGGAAAGAAACTCAGACATTCCCATTCCTCTCCCCAGCAACACTCTCCAACTCCTCTTGGGAAACTCAAAGGTGTTCCCAGGCCATAGAAGATAGACAGTCAATGAGTTCTGGGTCTGTCCTGAAGTCTTTTCCTCATGGGACGTGCCTGAAAAACCTCCAAGGTAGGTATCCACAGAAGGAATTCTAACCAGAAGCTGGAACCACCCTGAATCACCTAGTTGAAGAGTAACAGTGACTCTTCTCCGAGTTCCTCAACTTGTCTGAACCCAATGTAAGAAGCTCATTGTAGCTGCTTGTATCTGGGATCTTGCTGTTTTGGTCAAGAGCCATATGACCATAGGTGAAGGTCAGAACATAAACAGATGAGTAAATCGAGAGGTTTACTTTTCAAATCAACACTTTCTTCACCACAACTGACCTAAGCAATGCCCTCATTACTGAAAACGAGGCCCCAATCTGCCTCTCCATCTCCCACGCCATCCAACCATCACCCAAGAACAAATCACTTTGATACTTGAACTCCTCCATATGCCACTGAATGATTAAATTAAACATTTAAATTGTCATTTATTTGTCATTATTTACCATTTTCATTATTTGTGTGTATTTTCCAACTTGAATAGGTTTCTTAATCTTTTTTGTCAGATCATAACAAGTGTCTTTTTTTAATCTCCCTTGAAATTTAATCTCTATAAGAATTATCCAACCTATCCAACTAAACCACAAACTGAAATGTATGAAAATAAAGTCTCTTTGGGTGAGGATTTGTGGTGTTGTTGGAACATATGGAGAACTAAATGATCACGTGATTCAACTTTTCTTGACAAAGCAGGTGGTAAATATGCAGCTGACAACGAAAAGGAAATGGTTACTGAAGCAGGAGTTTCTGCTTGAAACAAATTGCTGAATTTATTTTCTTATTGTGACTCAAATACGACCACATTTTCTAACATTCGAGTGTTTTAATGGGGCGCTCATGTTGACAATTTAGACGAAACAAGAAAATGATCATATATGCAGATGACATACATCACTCCAAATTTGCTTTTCAACATAGATATAACTCATTCATTTCTAACATGATCTGTTGATTTGAAGTCCGATACAAAATGTTTGTACAGCATCTGTATTTACAACTCAGACATGCATTAACATTTTGTGTGCTTGTATAACAAATTGTCTGTTTAATTTAAACATTCATTATGAAAAATAAAAACTACGTTGCTTTCATTGTTTAACCAGATGAGGTTACAGAGATGTTAGTTTTGTGTTTTTACAAAACTTGGTGAAAAGTCAATTCAAAACTGAGAAGAAAGCGATAAAATATACTGCATGTTTGTATGTATTTACATTAATCCTTCATCTGAGACATGCTGAATATAATGACAGCAAAGTGACATCTTCAAGTGTTTTACTTGGTTTTGGTGTGAATGAAGCAAAGAACTTTGACACTTAATCAGTACAGCTGGTGGATCATCCCATGTTGAGGTTTCGTCCCACTTTCACTTCTTCTAAGATGTTTTGTTTTTGTCACTGTCTGTGGGAAAAAAATGAACAAAAAAGTGAAAGTGTTCTTGACTTATGGGGAAATGAAATCACTGATCGAGTGTTTGGGTTTCTGGCCTGAGCTGATGTGCTGTCACGGCTCTGCCGGAGATGACGGCGAAGGTTCTTCTTTCTTTTCGGCCTCTGAGGTTGTGCTAAGAGCCAGGTCTTGTTTTTTCTCTTTGGAGTGTTCTTGATCATTTACCCTAAAATACACAATGGGATGAAGCTTTTACCTGGTGGCAAACGTCAGCCTTTTTCCCTGTTGTAGTCCTTCTGTTATCCAGAAGAGGTCCCTCTCTGTAAATTAGTTCAGTCCGTAATGTTGAATTTGACCAGAAAATGTAGAAGGGAGTAGACTTTGAATCCAGTGGACTACAAGGGATTTCAGTACAGTATTGTGCAAATGTTTAAGCACTCATTTTTCCTTAAAAATATATTTCCAAGTATTAAGTCTTTCTTGTAAAAATTTAAAGTGGTCTTGATCAATAATTCTTCAAGCTTTCTAAAGGTCACTCGAAGGTTTTCCTGAACTTTGGCTGTTTTTTCCACTTATTTTGTACTAACTACTTGTACTTGAGCATGATAGAAAAAAATATAAACCTTACACAGGACCTGAAAAACAAGTCATCCTTCGGCTGATCGACTGTGTACAACTAGTTTTCAGCTAAGAATTCTTTAAGTAATCTACTTGCTGGTGCTAAAATATTTAATAATTGTTGAACTTTTGACTTTTTCATAGAATATATTAAAGAAATGGTAACACGTCTTTGAACAGGCTGCTATCAAATTACTAGCAATCAAGTTACTAGTATAGCTAGTGTTTTAGCTTGATGTTAGATACTGTTTTTGCTAGTATCTTAATAGCTACTAGCTATTGTTTGAGCTAGTTTTTCTAGTTGTTAGCTAGTGTTTTAGCTAGTATCTTAGATAGCTGTTAGCGAGTCAAAGTTTAAGTTAGTTTCTAGCTAGTGATTTAGCTAGTAGTATATTAGTTACTTGTGTTAGAGTTATCCTATTATCATTCTGAGGCCCCCGGTCTTGTCTGCACAAAGTCGGACTCCCAGTTCTGCACAGATGAGATAGGCCCAGCTGCTCTGAGTGAGCTTCCCAGGGTCAACATCCGATGAGTAATTTTTTATTTTGCTGGCTTCCACCAAGTAGATAGATTGCACTTTACACCCATTTTCATCATTAGAAACAGATAAGGCTGATGAGATCACAAATAGTCACCCCACTGATACACTCTGATAGGCTGTGCTCCCGAAAGTGAAGGCGGAGCCAAGGGCCAATATAAACTGGGGCTGTGATTACCTAATCTGTTGCGGAACCGACCCAGTGTTGCCAGGTGTACGATAATTATCGTATTTGTACGACAATTTTGCCCTCTGTACGATGTACGATCAATAATCCCAAAAAAGGCCAAATATATGATAATTTGACCATTCCGTGAATGTGTAGTTGTAATTGGTTGTCATCAGCCTCTCGCAACTGTCTGTCGGAGTTTTTTTTGTGAACCCTGAAGGCATCTGTGTCCACAAACAGATGCACGATTGGCTGGAAATTCTAGCCAATCGTGCTTTTCTAAATGTTACTTACGAGTGACATGTTTGCGTTTGCCTCAGAACAACGGCCATGATTGGATGAATAGTCCGCTGCGCCCGCCCCATGAGTGAGGAAAAGAAAAAAAGATAAGAAGAAGAAGCAGGGCCGGTCTGGAAGCGGACCCACCATTACTATAGTGCATTAATAGATTTGTTATTTTGGTTATGACGGGTGTACGATAATTTCCCTCAAAATACGATAATTTTATGTCTCTAGTACGATAATCCTACATTTCTCACCTGGCAACACTGACCCGACCCGTAGTGTAGCTCATTTGCGCATGCACTAAAAGGAATACTTCTGGGTCGCACGGATCGCCATTCAATATGCTAGATTAAGGAAAATGTACTGGTATAATTCCATTTATGAATAAAAACGGTCTTAATTTACTTTGAAAAGTATGTGCTGTCTCTCTGCCGATTTTCATGTTACTGATTTATGCCATTCATATTTCCGTTAAAATCACTGACATATTTACGTCATGGTTAACGCCTTGGAATCCTCCCAGAAAAGCTGGAAGAGGTGGCAGTGGAAAGAGATGTCTGAGCTTCCCTGCTCCAGCTGCTGCCCCTGCGACTCAACTTCGGAACAAACGAAAGATGATGGATGGATGGATGGATGGATGGATGGATGGATGGATAAAATGATATGCAGCTTCACTACTGGGTGGCGTTGTTTCACCACGGAAATAATTCATTCTGTATCTTGCAGGGTTTTTCTCATTCAGCCCAGGCTGGGGTCAGCTCTAATGCATCCCATATCATCTTAACCAATGATTTGTAACAGAAATACGAGTTAGCTACATCAAGATCGGTGGAAATAGAGCACATACTTTTCTAAGTAAATTAAGACATTTTTTTATTCATTAACAACCGCGATCTGTGCGACCCGGAAGTACACTACGGATCGTGCTTCCGTAACAGATTGGGGAATGACAGGGCGTTCTGTGAAACGGGGCTTCCGCTTCCACTGCCGGGTTAAGATGAGTAGGACGGATGCCTCAGCGCTGAAACTGTAACTTTCTCCTGCCTGATGAACATTAACTTGGTAAATAGAAATTATATTTCTTGATTTATTTGAGTTAGAGTGAGTTTCCTCTCCATCTGGGAATAAAAGAACCAGATGCTGGAGGTAGGGAATCGGACCGGATTCAGGGATGGACCCGGTCGAGATTCTCACAAAATGGTGCCGAAACCCGGGACCTCTGGCAAGTGTCTTAGCTAGAATCTTCAGTGTTTTCCCCAGATCAGCTCCCTTGACGGGGCACTCGTATTTGTTTTTGTTGGGGGGGACACTGGGTCACATCTGTGTTGCCCGCCTGCTGCATTGCTGACGTTTTTTTTTTAATTGACAACAGGGGGAGGGGGTCACATCTCTGTTTAACGCTATGTTGCTGTTGGTAATTGTCGACTGGGGAGTGTGTGTGTGTGCGGGGCAGAGGGGAGGAGGGGCGTGAGGAGGGGGGGGGGGGGGGGTGCAGAGCGCTTTGTCAGTAGCATTTTTGATAGCACATTTGTGTTGCGACCTGCGCTACATCAATACCGAAAGGTGGGGCAGGGCGCTCGGTTCTGTTGACGGTGCAGGGCGCCCCGCTTGTATAATGGAAGGGGAAACACTGATCTTAGAAAGTTGCTTCCTAGCATTGTAGCTAGTTGCCAACTAGTCTTCTAGTTAGTGCTTTAGATGGTTGCTAGCAAGTGTTTTAGCTTGTTTTTCAGCTAGTTGCTAGCTAGAGTTTTAGCTAGTTTCTATCTAGTGTTTAAGGTAATTTTTAGCTGCTAGCCAGTGCTTTAGCTTTATTTTTTTTTACTAACTGCCACCTAGTGTTGAACAAGTTGCCAGAACATAAGACATATGCACACATCAGGTAGGTGTGTTTACAGATACATATGAATCAATAAGGTTTTACTACAGAACCTCATATTGGTGTAACACATTGGGTCACATGGTAAGTGTTACACAACAAACAGCAAAAACCAAACTAAAGAAAAACTTTAGCAAATCTATCTTTAAAAAAAATTAATAGCATTTTTTATATATAGAGTAAACTTAACAAATTTCCTTGGGAAGCATTCCAAAGTTAAATTTTCTATTTGTTGTGCTGTTTGTCCTCACTGTGCGTGAGTGGATTATCTTTGGGTAATATTATAAGAGGTGTTAGCAGCTAATCGGGGAGGTTAAGTCGCTGTGAACTTGAGGCTAAAACAAAAAGATGTGGCCAGGAATCTAGGGTAAAGGTCATAATGTTGAGCAGTGACCTTGGCGAAGGCGCTGGCCGATTATTGTGCAGGACGTCCCAGCTAGAAGAAGAGCTGTCACGAGATCAGGAGAGAGAATCACAAGAGCAAAACAAAGTAAATCATGAGTGGAACATGTCAAAGAGTATGAGTTCAGCTGTTTTTTGAAGCTCATTCCTGCTCTCATTAGTCAAGATTACTTTTTAAATAAGCGCACACGGCTGATTGAGATTAGGAAAAGCTGTGGTTCCCACAGCATGATGACGGGTTCTTGATGAATATCCAAGAAGAGTTACCAAGATTTAACTTGTATTAACAGTATCATGACTGTGAGGGCACTACAACAACCAGAAATGTAGGCACTGTCAGATTCACTCTCTTTGCAAGTATTTTATCCCTTAGAGATAAATGTCCTTCAGATTAATGCACACATTTACAGTGATCAACTTCAACTTCAAAAACCATGGACAGGTGGGACTAGAAGCATCAAGTGAACAGTCAGTTCTTGAATCTGATGTGTCTGAAGTACAAAAAAAAAAGATTTTAGTAACTTCTAAAAGTCACACAAATAAGAAAATCTTCAAAAGCAGCCGGTCTAGTGTAATGATCCTAGTGTAATAGTGGTTAGGAGATAATTAAAAGAGTCCAAGGAAAGGACAATGACCAGGTTTGTGGTCATTAAAGTTTATTGTGTAATCAAAAGTTTGCTTGTTTTGGTTGCAAAGACGTGTATTACATCTTGAAATGTGTAGGGCAACAATAGGCACACAACTATCAGAATGGTCTGATGGACTGTAATGTCTTCTAAAACCTGGCCAGGTATTTTTGTGATTGATTTCAGAAAGGTTTTCATTTTGTAGTTGATCAGTGTATGGAAGCAACTCTTGACCCAAGCTGTGAAAAGAGTTAACTGATTGTATACTGGAGAAACCCACCATTTGTGTTTGTTGAAGCCTGTATTAAAAAGCATGAATGAAGAATTGGTAAACATGCATGTCATGGTAGCAAAGGATCAGAAGAGCTAATTAGTTTTGATCCTAAGATGATTAGAGGATTACATGCTTAGTGACATTTCCGTAATAACTTGCCCAAACCTCGTTTGGTGCGGTCACGTTGCACCAAGAGTTGGGACTCGTTTGGCTTGTTTTACTGTCATTTAAAGCTACATTAAACAAGATGGTGTTTTATTTGAGTGTATAAATTCTGTGTGAAATATTTAACAGATATGTATATATATATTTATATACTGTACGTAAATGATAAATGCAGTCTAATTTGAGGTGCATATGCATCATCATCCATGTCAATGCAAACACAAAGCATGATGGTAGTTCAGCATTAGTGTGCAATGAGAGATGTATTATTCCTGCTATTAACTGCCTTTGAGGATATCTGTAAATAGATGAAGAGTCAGTGCTAGCAGAGGATCCTTGTCAGTAACAGGATCAGGTAAGCCACCTGTTTACCACGACTGTTTCACGGTGGAGGAGTTTGAAAAATCTGCCAAGAAAGAGGAGATGGAGTGAGTCCAGGCTGGAGTTCCTCCACAGTTTTAGCTCAAACAGTGAAACTATAACAAGGCCTTACTAGAGGCCAGCATCTGCCACTCTCCGTTAAACCAGAATAGGAAACAGGTCATATAAATAGCAACAGGGGCATAGTGTTTATTTTTTACCGTATTGTCTTCACGATGAAACGAACAATCACTGCCAGGCCCACGCAGCCACACATCACTCCGATCACTATGGCTGTGACTTCACCTGCAATCACAAAAATTGAAAAAATACACGAGGAACTTCCACAGTCTCTGAAATCACTCAGAACAGTTTAATGATCTAAAGCATGCTCGATAGATCTAATGATCTTACCAGACGAGAGCTCCTTTCCAGATTCTATAAAACACAGAACATGAAATGAGAAAATCACGGCAGATTTTAGTTTTACGGTCACAAAGAATCAGTTTGTTCCTGTGTGGTAGACAGTAGTGTGTGTCTTTGCCCTTGCTGATATTGTTGGCCTTCCACTTCAGCCACTCACCACAATGATCACTTTACACAATTTCTTTCTCCAGAGTCTCTGTTTTCTCTTTTTAAATTACATAAACGTTGTTTATACATTGTTTCCTATATATTTCTAAATCTGCCTTTTCTGTTGTTTTTTTTTTTTTTTTGCCTTCTAAATCACTGTTAATCGATAAAGTCCTTCTACTTTTCTTTAATAATTGTGTGAATGTTGATTAATCATTCTCACTAATGAGATCCATTTTTCTTCCATGTGTTTTAAGGCACGTAACGCATTCCATAGTTTTTGTGCTATTTCAGCAATTCATTTGTCAAAACGTTCAGCTCATTCAGGACATTCCTGCTTTCACTTTAGGTATTTGTGCAAATTTTACTTTTTGAAATATTTAGCTTTAGCCATGTTTTTCCTATTGAAAATGAATGGAGCTCTCTTCACATCCTTCAAACTTTTTCTTTGTGCTGTTTGAAATCTTTTTGTACTCATTTCAGCTTATTTCAGTTTCTTTCTGCTCATTTAAATCAGCTATTTTTCATCTCAGCTTCCTTCCACTGATTTCAGCTTTTTTGTTCTTTTCTCAGCTTCTTTCTGCTAAGTTTATATTTTCATGCATCTCCTTTTTTGCTAAATCCAGCATTTTTCAGCCCTTTCAGCTATTTTTAGGTATTTTTCTGCTATTTGTGCTCATTTCAGCATTTTGTGATCCTGGTGTGCTTCTTTTTAGTTTTTTAAACCTCTCATTTGAGCCTCTTTTTGCTAATTCAAGCCTTTTTTAAAATATTTTTCTGCTACCTTTTTTGCCTATTTCAGATTTTTCCTGCTCATATCTGATTCTTTTTGTTATCTTTTTGGCCTCTACTTTTTTCAGCTTATTCTGCTACATTTTTGCTCTATTCAACATTTTCTACACGTTTCTGCTGTTTTTCTGCTTTCAGCAAATATCAGCTGTTCAAATTCAACTTGCATTAGCGATGAAACCTTTCAGCCTAGTTTCATCTTCTTCATCAGCTCTCGGCAACATTCAGCAATAAGCATTACACTGCATTTTAGAAGGAAATACAATTTCTCTTGTTACACTTTTTGCTGTCTGTGTGCTTTATTACCGTAGTTCCTAGCTGTGGTCAAAACAGCCACCAGCAAATTGTTTTTGTGTTAATCAATGAAAGCAACAGGTTGGCATTTTGATGTATCGTTCTGGAAGTGTTGATGAGGTACGACTGAGTTGAAATCAGACTGAATGTGGCCTTCTGCAACTTAAATCTAAAGATAAACTTCAAAGGATAAACAGATCATGTATGGATGAGATTGGTGTACTGTGTACAGTTCTATTGTTGCTTTTCAGGCTAACCTGCAGAGAAGGAGGCAAGGACGACTCTGTGGTTGAGCGACTGTGTTACCCGGTAGTTGTCCTGCAGCAGCATCCTGTGTGAATCTTCAGCTTTACTGGAGTAAAGTATCGTCTCCATCTTCAGCAGCTGGAGCAGAGAGAAGGAACAGAATTACAGCGTTTGTCACAAGACTGGATATAAAACAAGCATTTTAGAGAGGCTGAACCTCTTAGAAGTAAAGCTGGGCAGAGGTTCACCAATCTGCAAAAAATAGTTAGTCTTGGTCTACAAATAGTGGAACAGTTTTAAAGTACTGTTCACCAACCAAAATAAGGCAAACATATTTAACATCATCAAACTTCATCATATCGTCAAAAGATTTCTGAGCTTGAAGGACAAGAAGTCAACACTGGATATTTCTGGTCTTCAGTCCCTTAGGAGCGACAGCATTAAAACAGGTCCAATTCTGTTCAGGACATCACTACATGGTTTCGGGAACACTTCCACCAATCGTTGTCTGTAGACACAGTGCTCCACCATGTAAAGAAGAAGCCATATGTGAACACCACCCAGAAAAGCCACCATCTTCTGTGGATCAGAGTTCAATTGAAACGGACTGAGGCAAAGTGGAAAGCTGTTCTGTGGTCAGAGAATCAACATTTGACATTCTTTGTGGAAACCACAGAGGCCACGTCCTCCACACTAAAGAGGAGCGAGATCATCCAAACTGTAATCCATGCACAGTTCAAAAGCCTGCCTCTCTGATGATATGGGGGTGCATTAAAGCCTTTGACATGGGCTGCTTACACATCTGGAAAGTCACACTCAATGTAGAAAATAATATACAGATTTAGAACAGCATAGTTTCACATCCAGACAATGTCTTTTTTTAGGCACTTCATGAAACAAAAAAAAAATATCTAACACAAAAAGGTAATACAAAATCCTGCATCTGACAAGAATGGGGCAAAGTTTACTCCTGGTCCAACTGGTTTCCTCAGTTCCTGGATGATTACATATTGTTGTTAAAAAGAAGAGAGTGTGCTTCAGAGAGGGAAACAGGGAAACATGGCCCCTGTCCCAGTTTATTTTAGAAGTGTTGCTGCCAATTCAAATTTGGAAGATGACGCTGAAGTTTGCATCAAAACAGAGAAATAATGTTGGGTTATCCTTTAAATCATGTTTGACGATATACCACAAGCCATGTAGGATATTTTCTGCGTTTTATAATTTCAACAAGACCTGTGCCTTTGAGATCTGAACCCTCTCTTGGAACACCGTCCAGATGACGCTCTGGTAACAGGGGGGTGTCGTCAGTGAGCCGTTGTATCGGTAGTAGCGTCCCAGACTCCTGGGAAGAAGGGACTGGACGTCAAAGGCTGGGATGAACTCTTTCTGGTCTGACGGGAAATTTAAAAATGGAAATAAAATAAAAGATTTTATTTGGCAGAGCAAAAAAAAAAAAAAAACACTAGAAAATGACAAGGAGGCCCACCTGCATGTCTGATGCGGCTCATGTAGTTGATGATGTTGTTAAACGCTGGGTTCGTCTCTTCACCTGTCTGGGAAATCAAAACTCAGACTGGCTCTGCTCAAAGAGCAGAATAAATTGGTCTTGTCGTGTTAATTCCCTGTTTTGAGAAGCAGCTGTGCGTTGAGTCATTACCTCAATGAAAATTCCTAAAACAGCCAGACCGTCCCTCTGCGTCATGGCTGCAGACATGTTGGGGTAAAGCTCCGAGTTGTAATGAACCACATGTAGCTGAACAGAAGAGAGACGGAAGAAATCATAAAACGAATGCAAATCTACGGTTTCAGCAAAAGAAAGAAAAGTGCAAATGGATAAATGGAAATTGCAGGCATTCCTTCAGATTCTTCAGATTCAGACAGCTGTTTGATTCCCAACAGGCAATTCAGCAATGAAGCAGCAGCCTGAAGGCCTCAGTATAAACTCAGAGGACAGAATATGGTTCTGTTGGGACACTTACCCCTACCTTTGTGAAGTGCCTGCTTCTCCCACAAGGAATTGCAGGTCCCTCTGCTGGACCCGTATTGTTTTATAGCAAACCTTAACAATTCTCTGAAGGATGCTCTTATATTTTACAAATAGACCACTGAACCAACCAGAGGAAAAAGTTAAACTACTTCCAATTAAAGACTGATCAAGATGACAAAGTGTTCTCGTGGACAAACGTAAATTCTTGGGATTTTTGTGTTTGTTTTTTGGTTTTGAGTTTTCATATTACTGAACTGATTTAGGTCTACTCAGCGTGATTATCCATATTTCCCTCAGTCAGCATCAGTCATTCTTCTGTTCACCGTTCAGACCTGTTATGCTCATTAGCCTCAGCTGCATCCAGTCAGTAAACCCCCTCTCCCAGCATTCCTTATGCTTTGATTTATTCTGTTGCTTTTATTTGAACAGATGGAATCTTGTTAAGATTTGGTTAAGGCATTTTTAAGATAAAAAAATGAAACCTGAAGTTTGTCTTTCTTTCATTTACATGCCGCTCTCCTGCACTGACGTCTAGCTGCTCGGGTGGTGTCATTTAACCAAAGATGGGGTGTGCGTTTTTGATTCCTGATTTTTAATGGGTCGACTGAGTCTAAGAATTTGTTTGTTTATGACTTTAATAGACTTGATTGTGTTTGTGCTTTGACAGTTTACAAATGGTGCTTGAACTAGGGATGCACGATCCACTTTTTTTTTTCAATCCGATCCCGATACCTAAATCTGGATATCGGTCAATACCGATACCTCTCCGATATCATCATCATCATTGATTTTATACGAAGCTGTAATATCTCTATAGGCATGTACAATTTGTACAATTATATGCATGCATGTCCAAAAAGGCAACTTGAAGTAAGTTTTATTTTTTAAGTTGGATAAGTTTCAAAGTTAGAATTAAATCCTAACACACAAAATATGTTTTTTTTTTTATCCCTAGTTTTAAAGTGGATATTAAAGTGATTAAATTACTTTAAACATCTGCTAAGTTCATGGCATAAACCAGCACAAACATGTTCCTGTTTTTTAGTATTTTACATTGCTTTATAATGTAGCTGTTTTTGTTTCATATATATATAAATAATTTTCTTGTATTTTTTCCAATTCATATGCTTTTTTTAATGAGTGTCTACTATTGTACTCATAAATATTGTATCTCCTGGAGGTTTAATTATATCTTGGCTGTAAGTATCAAGATGTGAAATCCTTTGTTTTCTACAACTGATAGTGGTTGGTCATTAATCACTATGAAGTTGAGCAACTTCTCAGTAAACATTCGACCCCCGTGGCTTCAGCGGTGTGTTCTTCTCATTCAGTCCGAAGCAGGCAGTCTCATTTCGGTCAGCCGCGCTCAGTCTGCCCCTCCTCTGAGACGGGCAAACTTGAGTGCGGCTGACCGAAATCAGACTGCTTTCTTCGGACTGAACGAGAAGAACACAGGCGGTTTAATGTGGTGCTATGTTTGATTAAGTTCATTTTATTATAGGTCGTGACAGAGCTTCCTCTCAGTACAGCGGCTCTGCAGACATTGCACGTTGGTTTCTTACTTTGTGGTATTTCTAGTGTAAAATACTTTCACACAGTGGACACGTTTTGATGAAAAGTTGGTTAGCCGTTGGCTACAGTGCTACTGCTATCCTCACATATTTACTCATTGTAGCTGGCTGCAAACTATGAAATGGATTTTCTGAATGTGAGACAGGTCTTATTACTCTGGGTTCATGAGACACACCTTTGTTCAGGAAATCCATTCCATAGTTTGAAGCCAACATGCATCATGGATCAGAAATCTCTGCAGGTTAGATTGGAAAAATCTGATACGTAAATTATGCTGGTATCGGACGCCGATACAATACCGGATATCGGATCGGCCCCATCACTAGTTTGAACGCACCTCTGCATCTGCACTCCTTCCATCAATGGTGTGTTCACTGCCCCCATGACCTGGGCTGCCGTTGCCCCAGTGAAGGTGCAGCTGAACAGCTGTGAAGAGCCACGGCAGACCCTGTAGTCCCATCCACCCTGGCAGCTCAATGACGACTAAAGAAGATGAGAAAAAAGGAGTTTTGTCACTAGTGGCCTGCAGACGTCTGCTGCTCGGCTACGCTGGAGTGCAGAACAAACAGGTGGACCAGAACAGCAGAGGGTGGTATAACTGGAGCGAATGAGCCCGCTGCCTCGGTTACCTGTGTGTCCGTTATTGTGCAGGCTGAAAGGCTGGTTCCCATGCTGGCTGTAGCCCAGAGGCGTCACCGGAACCAAGCTGGGGTCGTATTTAGTCTGAGTGGTTGTCACGTCAACAGGTGACTGAGAGGCACCGCCACAGTCAGGGAAGTACTCGGACCATTCGGACTGACCCACCGAGCCTTCAGCAGAGAAATAAAGGAGTGAGGTCACTCTGATCACACAGCCCACTGACTCCTGTTGTTCTGTGAAAAGCCTCCATTGATCCGGCTCCAGTTCTGCAGGACAATTACTTCTTTATGTTCTTTTTGCAGCCTCATCGTGGCAGTGAGGGGAACATAAAGTTCTATATGCCAAACAAGTTTTCCCCCCACTTTTACATTGACAAAATGCAGCTGGTAAGTGTTGGCTGAACAACTGGAGGAATCTGCAACACTTAAGTCTCTATTTACCAACTCTTTTATTGTTTGTGAAAATAGATGTTCCTAACATGGTGGGTGGGAATCACCCACATGTTCTGCAAAAGTTATGGCTTTTTAATTTTATGAGAATAGAAACATTTGAATAATAAAAAAAGAAAATCTCAACCTGAAATAAACTAAATGAATGATCACAAAGAAGAAACAAGACAACAAACACTCATTTTAAGGCATTTTACTAATAAACAAACGTCAACCAAGTTAAAGGAAAATTTCCTTTTAGACCATTTTGCTTCCTCCTCCTGTATTTCGGTTACTCAGTTTGATATTTCTGACCTCTCTGATATTGTTATTATCTTACATACTATGTTCAAAACCATTAATTCTGCTCAGGAATAAATCCTGCAAACGTTTAACTTTTGCAGCCCAGTTGGATTATTAATCTAAAGGTGACATAAGAAAAGCAAATGTATTGTTTAAATATAAACTTGTTTTATGCATTTTATTTCTCCATCTTGCATATCTGTAGGTGGGTTGCGGAGGCAACAGGTCCAGGAGAGAAACCCAAACCTCCTTTTCCCCAATAACACTTTGCAGCTCCTTCTGTGGAGCCCCGAGATCTTCCCAGTCCAGAGAGGACATATAATCCCTCCAGAAAATTCTGGGTCTGTCCCAAAGGTCTCTTCTCAGCAGAACGTGACTGTAAAAACTTCAAAGGGAGACTGGAGGCATCCTAATCAGACCTGAACCACCTCAACTGACTCCCTTCAATTCAGAGGAGCAGTGACTCTAGTCTGCGCTCCTCCCAGATGACGGAGCTCCTCACCTCCGGATGAGCACGGCCACCCTACGAAGGAAACCTATTTCGACCGCTTGCATCTGAGGTCAGATTCTGTTGGTGATCCAAACGTTGTGACGCTGGAACGTAGACAGAGCAGTAAATCAAGAGCTTTGTCATTTGACTCTTTCTTCACCACAGCCAACCAAAGCAACACCCTCATTACTGAGGATGAGACCCTGAGTCGATCCATCTCCGGCTCCCGAAAGACGCGTGGAGCTCATCTTTTATTGGCAGAATGAGGCCACCTCTGCTCCTATTTAAACAGACTTTAAAATTTCTAAAACAAACTACAAAGATGGCTGCTGCTAAATGTAGGACAGGCTGCTGAAAACACCACTGGTGTTAAAATTTAACAAACAGAAACAGACTCCTGGCTGGTAAAACCTAAAGCTCTAGTTCTGTCTAAAGTTAAAGGATGAAAATTAGAATTTCTTTGGTGACATTTTTAAAACGCAAAAATATTTATTAAAGCTGAAGTTTTCTTTCTCATAAAATCATTTAAAATGTCCTCAGAAATGTATCATATTAACCATCTGATTTTTTTTTAATTGTATTTCATTTAGTTAACCTATTTTTGAAGCATAAGACATCTTGATTAGTCTTAAAACGTTATCAGAAAGTGGTGCAACTGACACCCATTTTTTAAAGAGTTTTCTGTATTTTGTTGTCACTTAAAATTAAAATGCTGCTTTAGAAAATGACAATAAAAAAACACCTTTTGATTTTTCCTGATCAGTTATGATTTAAAATGTCACCACAAATTCAAATGTTTGAATGCATTTACCATCTAATTTTCCATCATTTGAAAACACATACTTAGTAGAGGAGTTTATATGTTTCTGGTTTCATATTTTAATAAACACAAACTCAAAGAGGCATATTTTAAAAATTAAAAGATTTACAGGCGATAATCGTGTTTAATTTTAGGGAGCACAAAAACTTTTAAAATAACTGATTTAAAGCTGAACAAAAAGCAGGAAAGTAAGAGAAAGAGATGGATCTGCTGGAGGAGTGGAGAAATAAAAAATGAGAATGAAGGAAGAGGCATGTGAGTCACAGGAATTGAATTTAGAGGAGAGTTTTTGTAAACGGACATATTTACACCACAAAAACACAATTATTCTGCCACGTTTTCAGAGTTCAGGCCATAGATTGTATTGTACCTAAATTATATATATTTATATATATATAATATATATATATATATATATATATAAAATTTCACTCATTTGTCCTTTTATTTCTCTCACACACCCTACAGGCTGGGTCTTCTCTCCCACTTGTTTGTGTCACTTCAACCCACCCCATGATCTCCTCTCTTTGCTGCTCTGCCTCGTATCCCACCTCAGCTTCAAGCCCCAAAATCTGCACTTGGTCCCCGTGGACGTCTCCATGGTAACCAGAGGCTGAACAATCTGATCCTCTGCACCCGCTCTGCAGACCCTCACTTCCCCCTGTCCTGAATGGGACAACCAAACAAAGACCCACACACGTGTTGTCCTGTTGAAGGCCTCAGTGAGGCGTATGCGTCCATATTAGCGTGACAAAGCGTTGTGCATAAGAAAAAATAACGAGAACTCTGGATGCATTTTAGCAATATGCAGCCCGACATCACCATGAGGTGCTTAAAAGAACAAAACGGACAATTTGAAAAGATTCTGAGCAGTTAATATCTTACCTGTTGCAGATAGCTCTAGAAATGAGGTTCAATTCTGACTGGATTAATAAGCTAAAACAAAAACAACTGTTAAAACATTTAAAAAAATGTCGAAGTTCTTCATGAAAACTGACTTTTCTAAGCTTTTACACTACTTTCAGTCTTGCATCATAAGTTATCCTGCGTTTGTCTATTTTCTTCCATTTATCAGTGGTCAGGTCGAGAGCGCAACAGGTCCAGGAGAGAATATACATCTCTTCTCCTAGCGCCAATTTACGGTGGGAGGTGTAAAGGTGCTCTCAGGCCAGAGAGAACAAGGCTACATTCACACTGTGGGCAAAATTGGTGCGAATCAGATTATTTTATAACAGTACATTGCTCCAGAAGTGCAGATCTGTATAAAGATTAAACGAAACAAGCATAGCAGATAATTATTAAGTCACTCTGAATACACAACTACAAAGAACTTCATGCTATCATATGTAGCATCCACATTTACTTCTGTAAATGCAACGTGCAGGTCACCTTTCAATTTGAACACCAACGACCACGCAAACAAATAATCAGCTCTGAACAAAACAACTGGAATTGAGCATTAAGACTCGCTGTGTGAATAGCTTTAGTTTAATTTGCTTCAAAAGTCAGAATTCAGGTCAACTTCAAACCCATTTCTCTACATTTTAGTTGCAAACAGCAGGATTTTTTAAATGGTGCACATGTATTTATACACCATTTATACACTGTATAAATAAAAGTTGAATGAATGAATTTAGTGATGAGCCTAATCACCAGTACAGTGAGTTTTTCTCCGTTCTACACATTCAAACTGTGCAAAATTTAAAAGTTTATCACTGCAGCCACCATTGCAGTACATTTGCGGCTGATCTTTTACTTTTATGTTCTGAAAAATCGCCTGTGTTGGTGAAATTACATAACGAGGAGAGATTTGTTCAGGGGGAACACCAGGAGGAGCCCTTTGCATGGGACACGTGTCGGTTTGGTTTTACATCATGTTTAATTGTGTTTCACCTTTCCTGTAAAACGTAATCAAACTGGGTTTTGAGGAAGCTCCAACTTTGGGGAGACAATTTCCTGACTAGAGACTCTGAAATTCAAATGAAACACACCCTTTATTACCATTAAACTCTGTGATTATTTGCAAATAGAAGCAGCATTTTCAGCTAGCTGTAGCACTTCTGTTATTTTGCTGCTGGAGTAACAGTGTCATAAAAATAACTGATGACAATGAAAAAGTTTATAAAAGTGTATCCACTGTAAAATTCTGGACACTGACGTAGTTTTAAGACAGCAGCAACCCACCTAATAGTCCTGGCCCACTTAAACTGCTGGTTAGCTCATCAATACGATCAGAATTGAACTCCGTTTCTCCAAACTGACGTTGTTCAAAGTGTTATCTTCAACAGAAGTTCAAGTCAACATATCTGATCTCTTGAAACATACAGCAGGACATGTGTCTTCTGTCATCGTTAACTGGTTTGGACCCAAAAATGCAGAGCAGCACAAGGAGCACAAACAAAGTTAAGTCGGATTTTATTAAACAAAAAAATAAAAATGCTGTTGTGACCTCAAATCTGTTTCCCAAAAAACAACAACTAGGAATAACTCACAAAGATGCACAGAGAACACCAGACATGGTGCAAAAACCAGCAAAGCCATGAGTGAGTGAAGTGAGCGTGAAGGATTATGTGGACTGGAGCTGATGGGAAGAATGGCTGCAGCTGTGGTTGATGAAACAGAGAACAGGTGTGGATGGGCATGGCAAGCTGTACGCCACTGTAACCTGTTGCTGAAGGATTTGACTAGTAAAGGTAAGTTTTGTTCAGCTGCTCCCTTCTGTAGGGGTCATGAACTCACATGGAAGATTTGGTAATTATTTTTTCGCCGGATGCCCTTCCTGATGCAACTTGGACCCGAACCCGCAACAAGACCATGGCACTGACCACCAAGCTACCGCAGCATTGTTTGAACAGCAAGGATTTGAATAGTAAATGTTTGTATGTTTTTATTTATATATATATATTTTTTTTTTTTCTGGACTGGAATTGAACAGGGAATGAAAGTTAATGTTACCTTTTTGGTTACACTGTGTATAATAACAGAGGTAGTTTTTATTTTCTTATCTGAGGTGGTGCAGAGTGACAGATCCTGGTGAACGAAGGGAGCAATGTTATGCTCCACCATGTGCAATGGCGGAGCCAGAGGGTGGCTAATGGTGGCCTTGGCCACCATATCTTCATTCACCTCAGTCATTTGAGAAAACTATACTTTTAAGCAATAAAAACTAGAAAGCGTAGATTCCTCAAATGACGGGAGTCGCACACCAAAATGGAAGTTGGTGCCTTACTTCTATGGATGGGGGGTATTTCCAATTCCCCCTCTTTGCTCTGCAGTGGACAATAAACTGGTGATATATAGGGGAACATAACTAAAACCTAAAAACACAAGACACTGAGAAATAAACAAACCAAAAAAGAACCCTAACTGATGAATATATCTGTTGTAGAATATCTAAACAGATCTGTAAGGATACCGACTCGAGGCTCAGTCTCTAAAACCTGCCGTTCATTCCACACCTCAGTTCTGCTCCTCTGAGTCCGTGCAGAGAGAGAGCCAGGACATCTCTGAGCCTCATTCAGTCCCTCAGTCTTTGTCCACCACATAGGCAGCCAGTGTGTGTCAACAGCACAATAAACACATCGGTTATTGTGCGCCCCAACAATACAGTTAGTCCACGACGTTCCTTATCCTCGTCCCATCTCCTCAACTGAGTTCGCCACACTCATCCCTGTGCACCTGTCTCCCAGTCTTTTTCTTGCTTTTTACAACATCTCTGTCTCTCTTCACCTCTTTTCTGTGTGACTGCAGCACTCGTGCCAGCCTGTTCAGCTGTAACTAATTCAGACAGTGAGGGGAACAGACGGGGGACACGGTGGGCGAAACATGGAGAACAGACAAATCCCTCTAAAGTCGTGGAAACTTCAAGGGATTTGTGTTTCATGTGTGCCGTTGTGTTAAAGTGAAAAATACTGTTTTGCTTTTCCCCCCTCTTTGTTCTTTTAGGAGACTAATCTGGCCATCAAATGGTCACATCAGTAAAATTAGTCTTTCAGATCAGCTTTAAGGATTTTCTATGAGTTTCTTTGCAAAAAAGCTTATAAGCTAAGCCTCTAAATAAAAACTATAACCACCCTTCTTATTGCTTTAGGATGTTTATTCCTGTTTTGCTATAAAAAGATGAGTGAACTTTGACTTACCCGAGTAGGTCCAGGTGATTTCTTCTAAAAAGGAAAATACGAGAGAAAACTTCTAAGTCTCCTGCTTTGATCAATTTCTCCTTCAGCACCTTCAAAAAGGTCTAAACTAACATTTCTGAAAGCATCACAGTTCCCAGCATGGATCTAAATAATATCACTACTCCTTGTATTGGGGTTTAGTCCCCCATGACTAAAAGCCATGTCCAAGCACATTAACATATACAAAAATCTAAATAACAGCCAAGAAAATGTGATACGACGCCGGTTTTCATCTCGTATCGTAACTTACCCACAGAATTAGCAGCTGTCCGCTGGAAAAACAGGAATATCAGAAGGAGAATAAGAGCCGGAGAGTTCATGTTCGCAATGGAAATGACTGACTGAGAGATGGAGCAAGTGAGGGAGGGATGGAGGTCGGAGGTGGGGGGGAGAGATGAGGGGCACCTGCTACAGCTCGGTTCAACAAGCTGGATCCACTCTGGCATGCAGGGCTCCAGAAAAGGCCTTGGCGTGAGAGAGATGGACAGAAGGCATGCCGAGGAGGATAGGAAATAACACGATGAGGGCGGCTCACCCTTCTTATGGCTTTAGACATGAAGGAAATAAATCAAAACCTGGAAAACGTTGAACTAGATCATTCAAAATTATATCTGCTTTAGATTGTTTGTTTTTTTAATAAAAGTAGAAACTGCAACACTTGTAGGTGATGAAATAAATCTGAATTCTTTCTGGGTTTTTTTTACATTTCCACCATTTTTTCAACATATTTTGTTTTAATGCTGAATATTAAAGGAGCAGAGAAGCCCTGTCACTTGCTGCCAGAACGTCCGAGCAGTTCAGCTGAAAACGTCAAATTAAACTTATCGAAAACAAAATATGCAACCCATTAATGAATACCTCATTCTGTAAAGGACAGGGGTCTGCAACCTTTATATTTAAAGATTTATTAGGATAGCTTTATTTGTCATGTGCAAAATTAACACAAGGTCAACAATGTACTGAAATGCTTATAGGACGAGAAGAACAGTCTCGACTTGCCCCCCCCCCCAAAAAAAAAAACAAGAAATATCACATCATGCAGCAAAAATACTAAAAACATACTAAAAAATATACTACTAACATACTAATAAAAACATTAAAAATACTACTAGCATACTAAGAAAAACATTAAAAAATACTACTAACATACAAAGAAAAAGATATTAAAAATACTATTAACATACTAAGAAAAACATATAAAAAAAACTACTAACATACTAAAAACATATTAAAAATACTACTAACATACAAAAACATATTAAAAATATTACTAACATACTAAAACATATTAAAAAATACTATTAACATACTAAGAAAAAACATTTAAAATACTACTAACATACTAAAAAACATAAATGGTAATGGTAAATGGACTGTACTTATATAGCGCCTTTCTATCTTATCGAGACACTCAAAGCGCTTCACAATCTGTGCCTCATTTACCCATTCATACAGCACTCTGCTAGATCTTTACAAAGTTAATTGAACAAATCATTCTAAAGAGACTAATCAGAGCTTTATCACATTCAAACACTGATGGGACACACATCAGAGGCAACAAGGGGTTCAGTATCTTGCCCAGGGACACTTCAGCATGTGACTGCTGGTAGATTCAAACCCCCAACTCTTTCACTGGAGGACGACTGCTCTAACCACTCAGCCACAGTATTAAAAATACTACTAACATTCTAAGAAAAACATATTAAAAAATACTACTAAAATATCAAAAAACAAGAATCAAGTCTAATACAAACATATTTCCTGCTAAATAAAGTTCATAAGGAGCCACAGAATCACACGAAACAAAACTTTGGAGCGGTCCATCATCGGTTGTTGGTTTACTGTCCAGCTTGTTGATGGGGTCAGGTTGATGTCTATTGTGGACAGAGTAAAACACTGAAATGAGGAGGACAAGCCACTCTCGATGGTGGCTCTGTAGGACCAGGCGTGCACATCATTTCAGGTTCCTGGTGTTGGAGATGCCACAACCCCCCACGAATGAGAGGGAGGCATGGTGGAATAATGAGGCTGCAAGGAGCAGCCATCAAAGGTGCAGGACTTGGACTGTTAACTGTAAAATGCTTCCTCAGCCTCATTTCATTTGACATTGAAAGTTCAGGCTTGAAACACATTGAGGCGACTGCGTGAAGAAACTGGAGTAAAAATGTTTTGTAGACTTTTTGCCTCATAAAAAAGACCAGCTTCCAGTAACATTTGATATAAAAGATTGAACCTTCATATCACCTTTAAGGGTCTCTAGTCAAATAAAGAACAAAAACGCACATTTATCCACTAGATGGCGCTCAAACTGACCTAAAGTCAAGTACAACAGTCTGGTTGTACTTGTACAACAGCTACAAGCTGCTCTTTTCTGCCTGAGGGAGATCATCTCTCCATGCTGGTGTTCTCATTTTACAGACTTACACATGTTTCATTTGCAAGTTGTAAAGAAATAAATCTAAATCTTTTTAGACTATAAGCATGTCTTAAAGACATAAAAACCTGGATGACCCTAAGTTTTCTGCTTCTAAACTCAGACAAGAGGTTTTGGTTTTGGACCTGAGCATCTTAGGAATACATTTTTCAGTCTTTATCCCTCCTTGGATGGCATTAATCTGGTCTCCAGCTCTAATGTTAAAAATGCTGGTGTTATTTTTGATCAGGTACCCACATTAAAAACTTTACCAGAACCGCCTTCTTCCACCTGTGTATATCGCTAAGATTAGAAACATCTTGTCCAAATATGATGCAGAAGAACTGGTTCATGCATTTATCACGTCTAGGCTGGACTATGGTTTATTATATGGGTGTCCAAAAAAAAATCTTTAAAAAGTCTTCAGTTGATCCAAAATGCTGCTTAGACTGCTGTGCTGTAGGACAAACTGACCACAATTCCTCACTCTGCTGTCTTTACTTTCTCTACTCTACCTGTTTTTATTTGTAATTATTTCTATCTCAACATGTGTTTTTTTTTTTAATCTTTCCTCCAATAGAAAGTACACCTGGACCTGCCATTCTGTGTGTAGCTGTCTCTCCTTCCTGTCCTCTCAAACCCAAAGCAGATGGCCACTTGTCCTGAGCCTGGTTCTGCTGCAGGTTTCTTCCTGTTAAAGGGAGTTTTTCCTTTCCACTGTTGCCTTTGTGCTTGCTCAGGATGGGAGACTGTGACAAAGTGAAGATTCAAGTAATCTGCTGGCTTCCTTAGATAGAGAACTTTACTAATTGGCATTTTTTTTATATGTGAATGTTTCTGTTCAGTGCCCTGAGACGACGTCTATGACTTGGCGCTATACAGTATTAATAAACTGCTGTTAGGAATAAACTGCCTCAGAGTTTTTACATTACAGACAAAAAGATTAATCCAAAATCAGATTTTATTTCCCTTTGTGAAAATATTAAATTGCATTAAAATGTTCTGCGTGGCGAAGAACATTATTTTTTTTCATCCTTTTCTGTATTTACCCTTGGATTCATGAATTTCTACTTGAGAGGAATACATTTCTGTCTTTTTTTTTTTATAAAACACAACTTGATTTATCTAACGACCTCTGTGACAGGGTTTTACCCTCTTCACTGAAGCTGGTAGAAACATTTCCAGCTCCCTGAATCTTAACTGAGCTGCAGCCTACAGCTTAATTTTTCCCCAGAGGGAATGTTCAGCTTTTCTCTTTAGGGTTGCATAAACTTGCATCATTCTGTGTGAGAACCTCTGCAGTGTGAAGAAAGTCCCTTTGCGGCTGATCTTTTACAATCTTTTGCTCTGAAAGCTCTGTTCGTGAAGTTACATAAAGTGACATGAGGGATCTCTTCATGCTGAACACCAGGCGGAGCCCTCTGCATGGGGCATGTGTTGGTTTTACAGGCGAGCAAAGAAAAGCACTTGATTTTTTGATTTTTTTGTGAAACATCAGTCATTCTGATGGAAGACAAACTTTTGAGTCAGCTCCAGAGTAAAGTATTGTTGTGTAAATAAAACTTTGACCTACAGGTTTTAGCTCACGTGAAATGCATCCATATCTGTGAGGTTAACTGTCCCGTGATGAAACAGGAGACCTTTGGTTGTATTCGCCGCGCGCCACCTCCGTCTCTCCGCCGCTCCAACGTGAAGCGCTTCAGACAAATTATGCAACAGCGGTTACGCCCCCCTGCGGCGCTCTGATTGGCTGCTCTGCGTTCCAACACGGGGCGTGGCCAGAGTCGCTCTACGTTCCGTTGGCTGCGTCCCGGCATGAGGGGGCGTGGCCATGGTTTCCATTCATAAATCCGGAAAGAGAGCGTCTCTCTTTTAGACATGTGAAAATCCCACCATTTCCTCTGCGGCACCGCGTGTGGCTGCCCTGCTAATGTGGCACTGCCCACTCAGCAAAGGACGAAGCTAAAATAAGAGAGAAATTTGAATGAATGGTGGAATTTGATGGTTTTAAAGAATTTATTGTGGTCAGCATAAAGTCTTTTTGAAGCCACAGCCCGTTTGGTGCAGCTATTGAGCTAAAATTTGCTGTGAGTGATGCACCACATGAGCTTTGATGAGCACTATACCTTTGGTAAAATCTGTAGACAAATTTTAATGAATTTTGTAATGTAATCATTGACCGTGCAGCTAAAACCCAGAGTCAGTACAATTCAAGATGGCCACTAATCATCCTTATAACTAAGTCCATTTTGCAGATAATGAGCTAAAATTTGGTGCGGTAGTGGCTGAGCGTAATTGTCAAAACATTCTCTGAGCTCTATCGAGATGTCACAATATTACCCAAGGTTCCTTCTCAGCATTTCAAATGAAAGGTGACAGGAATTCCTTCATTCTCCATATTTTCTTTTTCTTTTTTCCTCCACACTTCCATTTCTTTTATAGTACAAAAATATCACAAAAAGACCTGAAAATTAAAACCTCATTAACAGATTCTGTTTTTTAAACTAGTGATGCTTTAAATTTGAAAACCATTACATGAAAGGTTTTTTTATAGGAACTGATGTGCACACATCCAAAAACAAACGTAATAGCCGTTCAGCACCATTCCATTTTTGATACGCGTAGAATTAGAGCATGCTCTGTGGTTTAAACGAGGGTGAAGGTAAGTCTCGGCCTGCAGGTGCAGAGCAGGGAAAACAAAGCTGGAAACATGGGGTGTGTGAGTATTTCCTGCAGCCATCTGTGTTTTCAAAGAAAAATGAGGGCGGTTAAGTTACAGATTAGTCACTCTTGATGCTTGTCCTCCAACGAAGACCGATAACAGTTCCGATGTTGCATCTGGTCCTCACAGACATGACCATTTGACCTTCATGCTTTCATTCCCTGAACTCCTGCATGCTTTCAATATAAACTTCAAATTGTTTTTAGT